GCATTGGGAGATGGATTCACAAAGGGAAGGGACCACAGATCCGGCAAGCAGGGGATGGACAGAGGGCTTGTCTGAGCACCAGGGTGGACGCGAGGCGGCAGGCCCAGCAACGCCAAAGCCGAGGTGCCTCCCCAGCTCCTCTGAGAGTGGGAGGAGGGGACGGGGGTGATGGGCCAATCTGAGGGTTTCTGCACAGGTGAGAGAAGTGAGCACGTTCCCCGGCTGAGAGGAGCCAGCAGAGGAGGAGAGCGTGCTCCTGTCCTGGTAATGACATCGGCCATGAGGACGGGGAGCACCAAAGAAAGACGCTGGAGGGGGGTCAGCAAGAGGTGGAGGTTGAATTGGGGGTGGAAGGCAAGAGTCACGAGGTTCGGGGGTAGGAACAAGGGATGAGGGGGGAAGCTGGGGACTTTGATCCTGCCTTGGTGAGTCCGTGATGCTGCCCGGCATCCAAGTGGGGTGGCAGGAGGGGTGGGGAGCACGCAAGCTTGTCTTCATGGAGCGAGGGTCTTTGAAGCCCTGGGCGTGAACAGCATGGTGCAGGAGAGGGCATGGAAGGAGGAGGCATGGAAAAGTGACCTGGCAAATAAGACTGCTGTCACTCCCCAGACACACACGTGTGACGATTCATCTTGCAGTGCAGCCTTCGCAGGTCTGTCTTTCTCCTGGACTCTGAGCTCCTAAAAGACACGGCCTGGGGCTTTGGAGCCTGTGTCCTCAGAAGAGACCCAGTAGGTGCTCAGTAAAAATGTGTTGGGTAGCTGATGAATGGACAGATGGATGGACGGGTGGACAGGTGGATACAGTGGTTCAGATTACACTTATCTAGGCTTGGGCAGAGTCAGAGGCTGAGAGGATGGTGGGGGGGGGGGCGCTGAGCAGCTTTTGGAGGAAGATTCTCCAGGAAGGAGAACAGATGGGCTGTGGGCGGCGAGCGAACGAGGACTCAGAGATGACTGGGGCTGCTGGCTGCGGACCCAGGCAGGCAATGACACTCAGCACTAATGAGAACAAGGAGAGAAACACATTAGGGGTGCGGAAGTGATGTGGTGAGTTTGTCATATGCTGGGTTTGTGGTACCAAAGCCAGCTGGGGATCGGCTCGGAGTTTCCAACTCGTGAGCAGAAGGCAGTCTGTAGGGCTGTCAGCCCCCGGGGCAGCGTGAGCAGGTGCAGGAAAGGAGCAGGGGCCCGGGCCACATAGCAGGTCCCAAGGTGTGAAGGCAGGTGAAGGAAGAGGAGAAGACCAGGGCAGGGGCCGGCGACAGTGCGCGGTCACCCGCGCACACGCAGACAAGCTGGGCCAGCCCAGGTCCTGACAGGAAGCAGGTGTTTAATCAGCGTCGTGTCGATTAATCAACAAATAAGTGGACAAAGTGTGAATGACAGTGACCCAGAGTCTGGGAGCCACCCCAGCCTGGGCCCCAGAGGGAAAGGTGTGAAAGACGGACAGATGAACACGCATGCTTGCTCACGCACGCACACGACACAAACAGCTCGTAAACACAGAGCAAAAATCCAACAAGGGTCCCCTGAAGAAAGGAAGAGAATGTGAGATAAAGGCACAGGCAGTGAGGGGAGGGAAACGGGACCCTCAGACACACAGCAGGAGCACACAAATACACTGCACACACACGCACCTTCTCCCAGACTGGCACAAAACCTGTGCTTGTTGATGGATGGATGGGTGATAGTGATGGGTGGGTGGGTGGATGGGTGGATGGTTGGATAGGTGGGTGGGTGGATAGATGGGTGGATGGATGGATGGATTGATGGGTTTATGGGTGGGTGGATGAATGGGTGAATGGGTGAATGGGGGGGTGGATGGGTGGATGGATAGATGGATGGATGGATGGATGGGTTGGCGGATGGTTGGATAGGTGGGTGGGTGAATAGATGGGTGGATGGATGGACTGATGGGTGAATGGGTGTGTGGATGGTTGGATGGATAGATGGATGGATGGATGGATGGATGAGTGGATAGATGGATGGGTGGGTGGGTGGATGGATGGATGGGTAAATGGATGAGTGGATAGGTGGATGGGTGGGTGGATGGATAGGTGGATGGATGGATGGATGGATAGATGGATGGATGGATGGATGGATGGATGGATGGATGGATGGGTGAATGCATGGTTGAATGGATGGGTGGATGGATGGGTGGGTGGATTGGTGAATAGATAGATTGATGGGGAGATGGGTTGAGAAACAAATGGGTGGGTGGGTGGGTGGATGGAGTAATTCAGAAATGAGAACAAAATCAGATAAGACCCCCCATTTAGGAGAGTTTCAAGATGTAGCACATACATACATCGCAAATCTACACTGTCTAGCATCTTCCCCAAGATATTTAAAGATGGAATAACTGGATAAAGTAACAAATTAACACATAAGTGAGTGAATGAAGCAAAACCTAAAGTTAAATCAAAACCCAATGAGTGAGACAGAAACAGAAATATGACCTACAGCGAGTCAGACAGACATGGACACGCATACCCAGGCGTGGGCGTGCGCCCACACACGCACACACACATACAGGATGACTCACTCCATCTCGGGGAGGGCCACACCTGTGAGGGCTCAGAGGGAGAATGAAGAGGGAGCCCCATTGGGCAAGGCAGGGAGGCAGGCGGAGGGAGGAGGCAAGTGCTTGGTCACCAATCAGATTCATGCGTGGGATCCACGCGAATTTACTGAGCACCTACTGTGTGAATGACCAAGTGACAGCAGGGAGCAGACAGAGTCAGCCCCCGCTCTTCTGGAACTGGCCTCCCAGCATAGAAGACAGAAAACAGGGTCCGTCAGCTACTGAAGCCAATTCTGAGCTGGAGAAGAACTGAGAGGTGGTGAGACAGAGCCCGGGGAGGGCAAGGCCCACTTCGGAGGGGATGACCAGCGCCTGAGCTGAAAGACAGGAGGCCGGAGAGTCTTGCAGTCTGAGGAACGACGAGGGCTAAACCCCCAAGACTGGAAGGCGCCTGGCAGGTTTGGGGGACAGCATGAAGGCCGGGGGCTGGACCCTGGTGAGGGAGAGGGAGAGAGCTCAGGAGATGAAGCAGGAGATGCGATCGGGTCGGAGCACGTCAGATTCCCGGGGCACAGAACTGGGGTTCTATGGTCAGGAGGTGGCACGATCTGATTTAAAGACCCTTCTGGTCCTAGAGGGTGGATGAATTAGGAACAGGGTTAGAAGCAGGGAGGCCAGGAAGGAGGCTGAGCTAGTCCCAGGAAAGCCATGGGCACTCACTGAATTCCCCAAACTCAGTGGAACACCCCGTGGGGCCGAGGCAAGGCACAGGGAGGTCTCACTCCGCAGCCCAAGGATCCCAGCGGGAGGAGCAGGCATCAGGGATGCAGGATGCGGGCACAGCAGGTGCCTGAGCGACATCCCGTGGAAGCATTCCCTGGATCACAAAGCTCAGAGGCCCAGCACGAAGATGAGGCAGGAGAGAAAAACTCAAGAATCTTCATTGTGTGAGCAGTCACTGAGCCTGTGGGCAGAGAGGGGCTGGAGGGAGACACCAGGAGGGCTAAGACAGGGTCCTGGGAAGGAGGGATGGGCCCTGCCTTCTGCTGGGTGGCAGGTGTGCCAGGCACTGTGTGAGGGAAGCTGGGGGCAGGGGGCATGGTCAGGCTCGGAGGATGGAAGTCAAGGGCTCATCTGGAGCATGTTAAATTTGAACGGCCCATTGCTAGGTCCCCCATAAGCTTATGCATTAGACAATGCCAGAATGAGAGGCTTAACCTGGTAAATGGATTAGTCAACTGATACAGATGAACTGGGCACTGACTGGGGGCAGGTAGGGCATGACCGGAGGAAAGAGGTCACGGGAGATGTGCCTTTGGGGTTTACATTTTGTCCCTGGTGGGCAGAGCTCCCTGTCTCTTTTTGTCTCTCTCTCTTCTTCTTCCTGATCGGCATGTTCTGAGCTGGTTTCGTCCACCAAGCCTTCCGCCATGATGTCCTGGGCCCAGAGCGATGGAGTCAGATGTCTAGGGACCGAGACCTCTGAAACCATGAGCCCCAAATAAAATTTTCCTCCTGTAAAATTGTTCTTGTCTGATCTTCCGGTCACAGTGGTGAAAGGCTGACGTAAACACTCCTTCACGTCCACGTGCAAATGTCCAGAGGACAGTTGGACACAAAGTCTGGGGGTCAGGCCTAGCTGGAAGCCACCCATGCAAAACTTGCTGGGTTTCAAGTCACAGGACTGGTCAATCAAGAGTCCCAAGAAAGAAAAGGCAGAGATAGACAGAAAGGACAGGCAGACTGAGCCTCCGACTCTCTCGACAACACCTGGGAGAGATTCTTCAGCTTTCCTTTCGGCCATGATGGAAAGACATGGGGAGACATGAAGAGGCTACCCTGGGAACCGAGAACACTGAAACGCTTCAGAATGTCCACATAAGACGAGGACCGCAGAGTGAAGCATCCATTAGCTGGTCCAATGGTGCACGCCCATGGTCCTAGCGACTCGGAGACTGAGGCAGGAGGATCCCAGGTTCAAGGCCCAGCCTGGCAACTTAGTGGGACCCGGTCTCAAAATAAAAAAATAAAAGGAGGACTGGGGATGTAGCTCCGTGGGAGAGCACCCCTGGGTTCAACCCCCAGTACTGCAAAAAAAGGAAAAAAAAAAACTCCTTCCAGTGTGCACCACGGAGGTCTGCGAGCCTTGACGGGTAGGGAGTGTGCGTAGAGGACGCAGGTGGAGGGAGAAATGGTGCTGCAAGGGAAGGGCAAGTCTCCCAGGCTTTTCTGCGTAGCTGGAAGGGAAACAGAGTCAGGAGGAAACTTCCTCCAAGATGGGAGAGATCTGCACCCTCGCCGCGAAGATCCAAGACTTTCTCCCAGTGTGGCCATCCTTCAGAACATCCAGAAGGCTCGTCCTGCAGACAGGAGTGGGTGGGAGGGAAGCAGAGAGGAGAGGAGGAGGAGGCCCCCCACCGGCCACCATTCATCCCTTCAACAAGTCCCTAATAACGCTTCCCATTTAATCTCTAATAACAGCCCAGCCCAACAGCTTTTCAAGATTGGACTAATCCTGAGACTCCCCACGAGGAGCATGTTGTCACCAGCTTCGTTTACAGTTTACAGACTTTGGAAGGTTACAGGTGTCTGAGCAAGAGTGGAGGGTGAGAGTAGAGGAGGAGCTGGGGTTGCCCCCCCATGGCAGGAGAGTCCACAGGAGGGGGGGGGGCAGGAGCAGGAGGAGGATGTGACTGGGGTTCTGGCTGCAGCCCCAGGGGGCGGTGACACTCAGCGCCAATGAGGACAGGAGAACCGGGGGCTACAGAGCCTGGGGCTGGGCTGGAGGCAATGGAGAGGAGCCTGAGGTCTTCATCCCTGAGGTCTCATAGCACTTAGGAAGCAGCTGCCCAGTGAGGAGGCTCAGGATGGGGCCCAGGGGCCCATGGCAGGGCAAGAAATGCAGAAAAGAAAGAGACTCGTCGGCCCTTTACACTGCCCTGGAGAAAGGCTGAACAATCTATTCCGTATCATAAGCCCCATAGTTTTCCTGGAGGCAAACGGTCTGGGTTCACTTCCCACCTCCCCTACTTATTTGCTGTGTGACCTGGGACAAGTAATTTAACCTCTCTGAGCTGCGGTTTCCCTGCATATAAAACAGAGACAGTAATAGTCTTCATGACCATCGCAGACACCCATAAGGCACTTGGGACGTTTCTGGCATGTAGTAAGCCCTGTGTAAGAATTAGTCATCCTCACGGCTGTGATGTCTTGCTCTGCCCTCAGCACCTGCTGCCTTTAGAAAGGCCAGGGCCTCTGAGATTCACTTTACAGGCCCCACTGTGGAAGGGCCCAGAGAGGGAGCCGCTTACTGACGGGATCCGAGAGGCTAAGGCAAGGAGGGGTCATGTGAACTGGGCCTTGAAGGATGCCGAGGAGTGTCCAGGTGGAACAGACGATTTATTTATCCATCCAGCCACTCTCCAGGGTCCCCGAGTGCCTGCCTCTGCCCAGACCTGGGCTGGGTGTGAGGCCCAGTCTCCAGAAAGAACCCGTGCCCGCCCAGCCCCTGCCCTGCCCTGCCCCTCTGGCCCTCCACGGATTCCCTCTGGAGGCTACGTCTGGGTGAGCTGCCTCCTTCCCTGCTCCCCAGCTGCACCCGGCCCCTCTGTACCACCTTCTTCACTTGCCGCTGCACTCTACCCACACTCTACCGCTGTGACAGGACCACTCCCTGTCCACGGCCCTGGCCAGCTCCCGTGCCCCTGACATCAAGCCCAGAGTCCCTCGCGGCGGCTGCATCTTGTCCTGACGTTGGCCCAGGCTCCCCTCTCAGAGCACCGGGCACACCCCTCCTCTGGCCTCTCCCCAGCTATGTCACCTACACCACGCCCTGACTGTCTCCTTCTGTGTCCCCGAGTCTCTCTGAGCACCCTGACTCACCCCATAGCTCCACCCCGATCCTCGCCCCGTCTCCGCCTCTTTCCAGGACGCCCCTGCCCTCTGGGGGTCTCCATCTCTGCCTCCCTCTCCTCCCAGCACCTGAGGCCATTTGCCAGGCGCCGCAGCTGGCCTGCTCCCGGTGCAGCCCCTCAGGGTCCCCTGTGAGCCCCAGTCTGTGTCGGCCGGGTCTGCGCAGCAAGGTCTTTGTCTGCCACCCCTGGGACCTGTGCCTTCTCTTCTCACTGCAGGTCTCTGGAGTCGATTCACTGTCCCTCCACCCGTGGTCAGTCCTGCTGCTCACCTGTGTGCGGGGGCTCCTGTGTCCACGCGGCCTCCACCTGTCCCTCCCTCGGCCTGCCCAGCCAGGTCTGCACACAAGTCGCTTTGAGTGGCCCATTCGGGGGCTGGGGAGGTGCTGGGGACGTGGCCACAGACACTTGAGCCTCATCTGTGAGGTTAGACAGTGAAAAGAGCCACCGCCCAGCCAGAGCCGCGTCCAGGCTCGCGCCACACACCAGGCCCCCCTCTGAGTCCTGCATGTGCCTGCTCCAATCTCACCGTGGCCAGTGAGAGGGGCACCATCCAGACAGCAGGGAACTGAGCCCCCCGCCCCCGCAACGCCCCTCCTGTGCGACCACAGCTGGGCTGGGGGCGGAGAGGGGGCAGAGCTGGTTCTGGGTCACTGTAGGCTGAGACGTCATGACAGCACGAGACCCTCACAGTCACCCTTCCCTCTGATCACTGTCCCTCCCACACCACCACCCACCACCCCATGGCTCCCACTGAGGTCTGGAAACCTCCAAGACTACGCCAGGGTTGGGAGGGCACCAACAGAGACCAGGCCAGGATAAGGGGAAAGAGAGGACAGGGACTTCAGGGAGGTGTTCTGGGGACAGAGTGGCAGGAAGCAGTGCTGCTCAAGCCTAGGGGGCGGAAGACAGAGGTCAGGCAGGGCCCCAGGTGCCTCAGCCCTCAGGGGCCAGGGACAGGGGTCCGTGAGGGTGGAGAGCCCCACTGGGGTGGGGGGAGATGGGCCTAGAGCGAAGCCACTGAGACCAGCGTGGGGGAGGGGAGACACACAGGGCCCCCCAGCTGCAGGGCCAGCACCTGTGCACGCCTGTGCGGGTGGAGCCTCTTCCTGTGAGCCGAGGCGGTTAGTCTCAAAGCGCTTATTGTTCACTTTGCAGGTGAAGACGGCTCCGGGAACGTCGTTTGCCTAAGGACTGTGGCAAGATTTGAGCCACGGGCTTGTCTACTGTGTCAGGGTGAGAGGCCGAGGCGCAGGGACAGTCAGACATGCAGGGACCAAGCCCAGCTTCCCAAAGGGGCGGGCAGGGTCCAGACTGCCCCACTCCTGCCC